TCCCTATTCTCTTCTTTCTGTGTCTACTCCCTGTTTTCCTGCCTACTCATTTTATTCTGTGCTGCAGCTTTCTATTCCCTCAATCTACCCTGCATTCTCAGCCTTATTCTCTTTTTCCTCTCCTCTCCATTCCCCTTTCCTCCCCTCTCCTCTCCCTGTCCTTTCCTCTCCTACCCTTCCCTTCCCTCCCTTCCATTTCCTCCCCTCCTTGGAATCTTTCTTAACTCATTAAAGATGAATGGAATGCATAATTAGTAATGGAAACACAAACATCTAAACTGAACAGGCTTTAAGGAGAACATATGCCTATTGGGTAATGCTACAGCCACATCACAGATTTCACAAATTTCACAGAATATTCTGAGTTGGAAGGCACACACAGTTCATCTACTAAATGTCCCCCTAGCAAGTCAGGATTAGTTATATTTTATGTCCACGTCATAAACATAACAAATATACTACTGTGTTCATAACAGCAGTTAAATATTATTCCTTATTGTTAAAGAAGTCCCATAGCTATGTGATAATGTCATTGGAAACTGTTATTACAGTAGACAGGAACTTGCATGACCCCTACTGGGTTATCTTTTCCAAACTCTGTAGGTGAACCTTGTAATCTACGAAGTCCTTTTGAGAGGTGAATAATTAAATCCTTACAATCGTGCAAGTTCTTACAATAAGACAAAAATTCTTATTTTCATTTCCTGTCCTGTTACCTGGAAAAGTAACCAAAACATGCTGGATTCCAATTGGCATTTTTACTTCCTGTTGCAAGTTGTTTGTCTGAGTGCAGAGAAATTCATGCAAATCTTGTCACACTGTTGAAATGAGACATTCATTGACTTCAAGAGGATGTTATTTTTAAAATTTAGGTATTTTCTTAAAGAAGACTATAACCGTTTAGTAAGAAAATACTATTCTTTGCCTAAACACAAGTTACATGAGAAATGTAGGGCTGCCTTATTATTTGATAAACTACTTCTTACATACAGATACCAATTTCATGAAACAGTGAGGAAAGGAGGATTTAACCCATAATTTTTGAGGTACACTGTCAAATGACATCAATTCTCTCTTGTTCAAAATACATGTTTACATTCAGTTATTTAAATTACTACTCATATCTTAGCAGAACACTGAAAGATAGAGAGTAAGTTTTGACTTCACCCACAAAAAATTCAGCAGAAGGATGTCTGGATCCAGTAGACATATGGGTTGGGATGAGAGGGAAGGAGAGAGCTCGTAGGGACAGTACAGCCTGTCCACTGCCAACTGGTGTAGACTCCACAAGGCTGCAGCAAACTAAAACACTGGAGCTGTGCAAACAGGCAATGCTGGCATACTATTGATCTTTTTCCTCTCTTGCTCCCTCTCCATAGTTTCCAACCCCAAAGAAATCTGTATCATGCAACAGACGGCAATAAGTTTACCTGTACAGGCCGGGTGATAAATGGAGCTGCATCAAGAGCCCTCCTTTACACTAGCAGAAAAGAGATGCTGCAGCTGCCTTCTCCTGTTAGACACTGCATCCAGGTTTTGTGGCATGATGGGTAGACAGATCTGTTTCCAGACACTTTTCTGTATCCCCTTTGGGGTTGAGAAGTTACTGAACCATCCATTTACCTCCGAGAAGCAAAATATGGCTCTTAGTAAGACTAGGATACTGTATCTCTCTACAAGACTACTTCTAATGAAAATACACCCCCTTAGGCCCTAGCAGTAGCAAAGTATGTGCTGGTATACAGCTGACATATTTTCTGCTTAGTTACAAAAAGAATAGCTTTAATTTACCTTATAAAAATGCAAAAGGAATCCACTCTAAAAGAGAAAAGTAGTTTTATTAATTCAGTGCTTCTCTCATCACTCCTTAGTAAAAATGTACATATTATAATAAAACAGACACAATTACACAATGAAAAAAAATAACCTAATGGCTCTTAATAAAATTCCAATTAAAGCAACCAACTGTTTTTTCAAGGACTCAGATCTACACAGGAAAAAGACTAAGGAATGAGTACACCTAAATACGGCTTTTACTGCTAAGAACAGCTACATTAGGGCTCATCAATCAATCATAATATTCACATTCGTGTAATAAAGACTTCTTTATGTAGAAGTTTAGTCACCTCACAGACAGACTAGTACCGGCATTTGTGTGTAACTAATCCTCTCTTCCAAAAAATGATTTCTTCAGGCAAAGCCCCATGAAGACACTTAATGAAAGAGTGAATTCTTATTTACTTAAAAGTAAGAACTAGAAAGAACAATACAAACCAGAGTAAGAGCTGTTTTCTGGAAATCTAAAAGACCTGTTATTTTTAAAAGATTTTGTAGGACTCTCAGGGGTAGCCAGAGGAGAGAGGAGCAGGTATACAGGCAGATAAAGCAGACACAAAGCAACTGTCTCTATATCCTGCTGGTGAAAGCCTTCGGCTTTGGCACAGTGTTTTCATCTTTCTGTGCACTATGAGGTCCTCCAATGAGACTGAACTGCCCGGGGCACTGGCAGCTAGCCTGTTGTTTCTAAACTGGTTTGCCAGTTTGTTGGTTCAAATATAGCCTCAGAAATTAAAGTCATGGCCTGTGTGAAATGAGCCGGTAGTAGCCATCAATTACCCGTTGGAGAGACCATCCCAGACAGCTCAAATCATGCCCTTGTTGACAGCTGAGATGAGAAGCAAGGGAGCAAATGTTTTCAGGTACTGAGCTAAATTCTCCTCCCCAGGGACAGAGTCTTAGGTTTGAAGCATAACATGGAAATTTTGGGGCTTCTAGATTATCCCTTCTATTTATAAAGTTTAGCTTCTATTCAGCTATAATAAATGAATTCAATTTTGAAAGAGAAAACAAACTGAAACTGTAGGATTATAGTGGAATATTAGGCAAAGCCTCATAAGCATTCCCCAGCAAGATAGCAATAGTAAAGCTGTAGCACCCTCTCTTCTCTTCCAAACCTATCCGCCAGACTTGGGGAAAATGGCTCAAGATACTAAGGTACATGCAGAAGCACAGCTTTTGTACATCCTTGAGAAAACCAAAGGGCTAAAGCAATAGTTAATTTCATTTGGGTGCATTTAAAGCTAGATCCAGTGAAGAACTAGAGATCTAAATACTAGATGATATAGCTTCCTGATGCAAAATGAATTGCATCTTTCCAACTTAAAGCACAGGCAGATAGTGAGAATCTCCACATGCTGACCCACACAGGCATATGGTTCAGTGCCTCTGTCCTGATGCACTGTGGAGAAGATTCAAAGCAGGAGTGACAACTCCACTAGGCAGCAGAGCTCTGAAAACACAGCTGCTACAACACCGTAGATTTTTAGATGGGTCACTGTTACCATCTCTACATCTTGATTAAACAAAAATCTGATTTCATCTAGAAGTACACCAACAAGTTCTTAACTAAAAAGTTATGAATGTGTAAATTCAGTTTGCCTCTAAACAACTTCATCTATTTCATGTATTTCAAAATGTTGTTGCTTTGTTAACTCTTACGATTACAATTCTTGCAATAAACAGAATTTCTGTACACGTGATATCCCGTGGGGATGTAGAAACATCTAGCAAGATGTTTCCCAAAGCAAAAATTAATTAACTAATAGATGCATATTTTGAGGACAGGCTATTTGATTTTTGTATTTTTATATAAATCTGAAATATGTTTTTAAATTATCGTACCTCTCATAGAATCATATGACTGTGCAAGTTGGAAGGAATCCTGAAAGATCACCTGGTCCAACCTTCTGTGGTAAAGGGAGCCTACATGAGATTATTATCTGGCACGCTGTCCAACTGCATCTTGAAAACCTGCAGTGATGGGGACTCCATCGCACCCCTGGGAAGGTTGTTCTGGTCAATGATCATTCTTAGTGTAAAAAAATTATTTCTTATGTTGCTTTGGAGCTTCATCACAGAGTGTGTCTTTCTAATCTAATTCTTTGAGGTGTCCAGCGAACATGTGTTATATCTCGGGTAGGCCTAGAGTCTGCAATCTGTGCAGGATGGTCACAAGTTGGCTGAATGGGACTTGTTATCCACATTTATTCCCTCCAAAGAAAAATTAAATTCTTAAGCAAGGGCTGAACAGATGCAGAGCCTACAAGCATACTGGAGCAGTGAGGGCACTTTGTACAAGACTGAGTCCACCTGGAGCCTCGATCCAAGACTGCAGAACTCATGCCACAATGGACTGCAACTACTGAGGAACTCCACTTTTTTAAAAAATCCAGATCGATTCTTTATTTTCTGCTTTTTCCTCCTTTGCCTCCCCCCTTCCCCCAGGGATTCAAACACTAGAAATCTGTATTATATAACACTCACAAAACCAAAAACATTGACAGGGGTTCTTTCAAAGTAAAAGCTGGAAAAATGAAATGCACACATATGCCTGCAGTTTTGTGCCACATAAAATACTTGTGGAAGAAACTTGGATGTGCGCTGTATCTGAATGTATATGTCAGATAGCAGCATACAGAAATAACACTAAGGAGTGTAAAAATGAAATGACATGGGGACTGCATACAGAGGAGCAGCTACAGTGGATTAGTTAAACTCATTCAAGAACAACCTACTGGAAGTCATCGCTGGCACCTAATGTGGGATGCACTTAGGCAAACCTGCTGGAAAACTGCGAGCTGAATAAGTTATGTGAGTGTTAAATCACCTCGTATATGGGGAGCTAGGGGGTTGATTGCACAGCCTCACCTAACCCAGAAGCCTCCATCCTTCAAAGAAGAGATCACTGAAGCTGGACCGGTTTTCTCCTGGAAATGCTATACAAGAAGCTTGTGAGACGGGCCCGGGCATCTCGGGGACACGGGCCTGAGACGGGGCCGGTGACCTCGGTCCCAGCGCTGCGACTCTGGGCTTCGCCACTCTCCGGCCCCTCCGGCAGCGGTGCTGGCACCGTCCTCCCCCGCGGCTAGACACACGCCCACCGGGATGGGCGAACGCTTCCAGGCAGCTCAGGGAACTGCTTGTCCCCCGCCCTCCAACAGATGGAGGATGCCGAGGTCAGCCCTGGCCCCCGACACGTTTCCTCCGGCAGGCCCGGGGGAGGGCCGTGGGCGCGGGTACGGCGGCGGCCAGTCCGAGCCGGGGCCGAACGCCACCAGAGCGGCCGGGCACCCCGCGCCGCCGGCATGAGGGGGGCTAGGCCCTGGTGCCTGCTCCTGGCCGCGGCCTGCGCTCTGAGCCGGCCCCCGCCGCCGCTGCGGGCCGCGGTGCGCTGCTCGCCCGCCGGCACCTGCTTCAGTGCCCACCTCGACAACGCCTCCTACCCCGCGGCCAGCGGCGCCTGCGGCCAGCGGCAGGGCGGCCTCGCCTGGGTCAGCGGCGAGCCGGAGCTGCGCCTGCTGCTGGGGCTGTTGGCAGAGGCGGCGGCGCCCACGCTGCTCTGGGTCGGGCTGAAGAGGAACGCCTCCGCCTGCACCCACGCGGAGCATCCGCTCCGCGGCTTCACCTGGGAGGGCGTCGGAGGCGGGACGGCCCCGCAGGACGTGCCGGAGGCGCTCGGCCGCTGGGTGAAGGAGCCCGTGCGGTCTTGCCTCACTGCACGCTGCGCTGGGCTGCACCTGGCGGCGGTCCCCGAGCGCAGCCCCAGTTGGGGCTGGGAGGAGCGGGTCTGCCATCGGGAGAGCCCAGGCTACGTCTGCAAGTACCAGTACGAGGGCGCCTGCCCCGACCTCAGCCCTGCGGGCGCTCTCGACCTTGACTACCGCCTCCCTTTCGAGGAGGGGAGCCCTGGCCCTGGCTTCAGCCCGCCGGGCACTGTGCTGACCGTGGCGTGCCCCGGCGGGGAGGTGCAGCTCACGTGCCAGTCCGATCCGGGCGGTTTCGCCTGGAAGGTGGCAGAGGAGCCCCTCTGCCCCTGCCCCTTGGGCCGCCGGAGCCCCGGCAGCGAGCGGTGCGCCGAGGCCGCCGGGTGCCGCGATGCCGCCGGCGGCTTCGCCTGTGCCTGCACCCCGGGCGGGCGGGACGGAACTCTCTGCCCGGGCACGGGGGCGGCCCCCACCGCCGCAGGCGGCCCCGCGGAGTCTCCGGGTGCCGGAGCGGAGGGGCGGCATCCCTCCATCCCGACACCCCGTAGTTCCGCGGGGCTGCCTGCCGCTAGCACCGCGGCCGCCGGCGGACAGAAGACGGCTGCTCCGCTGCCCTCCTCCTCCTCCTCCTCCAACTACGTTTTCGTCCTGGTGACGGTCGCGGTGGTGGTGCTGGTCATCCTGGTCATGACCGTCCTGGGGGTGTTCAAGATCTGCTTCAACAAGAAATGCGAGGGCCGTGGGGACAAGGAGTCGCCCGAAGCTGGCAGCAAGGCGGAGGCGGGTTCCTTGGAGCCGAGCGGAGCAGCGGGCGGTGACTAGTCCCAGGCGGCCGGGGCCTCGTCCCTCGGGGCTGCCCCGAGCGGCAGCTCCCACTCCGGGCCAGCGCTCGTCTGCCCGCGTCTCTCCTGCCGCGGGGAGACGAGGGAGAGGTGCCATGGGACTTGGTTGGGCAGGACTTGCAGATTGTCAGACGCGGGGGCACTTTTTGAGGGGTTTTAAGCTTTTGGACAGTCAAGAGTTTTTGTCGGTCTGAAAGACAGTTATTTAGGCGCTGACATAAGTGAAATATAAGTACATCATCCTGGCTGACAGAACGATTGCTGCTGCAACAGTTATGGGGTTTTATCCTCTCAAAACCTCTTCGTTGAGTGCCTTACTTAGAGCAAGCATAAAGGGGACCACTTTGAGCACTTGCATCTTGTAATTTAGAAGTCACTCCTTGCCTGAGTGGTACTTGGAGGCTCTAATTTTCTTTCTAATTGCTGGAACATTTGGAGAGGTGAACTGCCATGATTTTGGATGAAACTGTGACCCATACTCTTTCATACTTGCATTCTTAAAAATGAGAGAGCATTTCTATACTTAGAAGATTATTAAATTGCTGAGGAAGTGGGAGGTTAATGAGGAGTCAATTTCATACTTCAACTAATGAAAAGAATAAAGGATGATGTAAAAGCTAAATCACCGCTCTGTTTTTTTACTTCATACAATATGACTTTTTATTGTAGCAGAGGACAAAGTTTTTCTCCTAAGGTGTGTTGGTGCAAAATTTGCTTTCTGCATGCAATATGTTGCTCCCTTACAATCAGACAAGGTGCTGACACACCACACTGTGAGAGGACTTAACGTGAGTCTAAATGCATCGTGCAAATCTCATTCTTTTTAGTCAGATATATTATTTTCCATGGTGTCCCTTGAAAGTAAGGAAAGAAATATTCACCATTTGTGCCCCTTGCTAAATGAGGTAAACACTTCCTCTATGATTTCCCTTGGGAATTCCTATAGAGGAGCTTTCATCCTGGCCACAGAACTTGCTTTCTTTGCAGTTCAGAGTGCTGATGCTCACTTATTATTATGGTGTTGTTTTTCAATTAAAGTGGTAATGCTAAATATTGATTCAAGGTTTTCTGAGTGCAGTAAGACACAACTAACTGGATCCATCCAGGTCTTTTGGTGTGCAGGGAGGGTAGCGAAATTATTATTTCATAACAGTGATTCAGTGGTCTGCAAGGGAGATTCAGTGCGGAGTTTGCTGTTTACATCCATAGGAGGAGAATAACTAAGGTCATAATGAGTACAGATAATCATAACAAGGACTGAGATAATAAAAGTGTCTGGTTATGAAATTGGATGCAACTTTCTTTTAATTCTTAACTGTAATGCCACAATCAAATGTAAATATTTTTCCAAAATGTACCAAAGATGGAGACAAATCTTGACCTTTTCCCTTATATTACATACATGTCCTTTGACTAAGCATATTATATTTCAACTGTTTTTCTAGTATAGGAAAAACATTATGTCACCCCATATTAAAGCCATATAAATCACATAGAAATTTCGTATCTGTGAGTTTTAGAATGGACACATTTGTATGGAGGATTTAAAATAATTTAGTCATTTCAATTCTAGTCATGAGGTGGGATTTTTAAAAAATTGTTAATTCCCTGGTGTAATGCATAGTGTTGTAAACTAGAAGACTGGATGTAATAACACCATGGTAATGAAATGGTGAATGCAAGAATCTGTAAGTCCACGTTTTAAAATGGTAGTTCCTGCAACGAATAGGAATGTCCAGATCTCTTGTCTATTGCAGTTACCTGAAAAGTGTCCCATGTTGACAATTATTAAATCTAATTTTTAGATTTTCTTAATTCCTCCAAAGATAGTTTGACTGGTAGACACATCATTTGTCAGCTGCACATTTTATTTATGAACATGTGATGAATTTTTAATGGTTCATATTCATCAAATACAAATACATTGTATTCATCAAATAAACAGAAATAAAATTTTAATTTCCCTACATTTTTTAAAATAACATTTTATACTGCTGAGGGCTTAATTAAATGTGCTATGGGATTAAAGTGAAATCTGAAAGTGGACATGGAAAAAATTCAAGTACTTCAGATAACTTTTTTCTTGTTTTAAGTGTAGTATATAGTTTAAAGAAGATTAAAAAAATTAATGGATTCTGTGCTTCCCCCAGGAAGTGTAATTTCCCATCACTTAATTTTTTGTGTGTTTTCAGTCCCAATATGTCTTTCCTCATTTATTACATGGAGTTCAGTCACTGGTAGATGCAATTTAGTTCCTTCTAGAAATACTATTTTCTATTTCTTCAGTATGTGGACATTTATGAAGGCTGTACAGTGGTGATTCATATATTTCACTAATGATATGTAACTGACTTGAAAGGCAAACACAGTTGCGCAGCAGCAGTAACCACTCTCCCAGGGCTTCAAACCAGGTTAAACATCCTGTCTTTCCTTCTTCCCCCCAATATGCAGCCTTGCCTTTCTCCTCTGGACTTATAGTCTGGAACTGGAAGACTGGAAAGTGGATGTGAAGAGGGAGTCCTCTGTTGGCAAGCGAGTCTTTTTCCTTTTCTGTATTGCTGACTAGAATTATAGAATCAGAGGATGGTTTGGGACTGAAGGGACCTTAAAAATCATCTACTTCCAATCCTTCCACTAGACCAGGTTGCTCAGAGCCCCATCCCACATGGCCTTTAACACTTCAGGGATGGGGCATCTACAGCTTCTCTGGGCAGACTGGTCCAGTATCTCACCACCCTCGCAGTAAAGAATTTCTTCCTATTATCTAATTCAAGCCTACCCTCTTTCAGTTTGAAGCCATTCCTCCGCCCATTCACTACATGCCCTAGTAAAATGTTCTTCTTCAGCTTTCCTGTAGGTATTGGAAGGCTTCTATAAGGTCTCCCTGGAACCTTCTCCAGGCTGAACAACCCCAACTATCACAGCCTGTCTTCATAGGAGAGGTGCTCCAGCCCTGTGATCATCTCTGTGGGCTTCTCTGGACTCGCTCCAGCAGGTCCACGTTATTCTTAGTTGAAGGCCACAGAGCAGAACACAGTACTCTAGGTGAGGGCTCCTTCACTGTAGGCAGCAGTGAAACTGTGGACGGCAGAGACATAGTGGTGGTCCTGCATGTATTATGTCTTTTCCCTCCTCCTATCTGCCAGTCCTTATGCATTTCGAGTCAGAATGCTGGGAAAACAATACTATTATGCATTTTATGGATAATGTAAATAGCAAGAAGCCTGCAGGTCCAGGGAGAGGATGAGCTAAGGAGGGAGAGATAAGAAAGACAGGCAAGCAACCACCTTTACCAGGATGTATCCATCCTAACCATACTCTTGCTGCATATTTTTTCAGGTGTTACTCAAAATGTGGTGGTTTGTAAACAAATGAGCATTTTCAGTCATTAAGCCAGGAACAGCACATAGGCTGTAACATGCCAGAAAAGCATGGTTTTGTTTTTGGAATGTAACCAGCAGGGCTTGTGTTTTGGACTGATAAGAATGGTACACACTGTTCCCCAGAACATAACACGGGAGCATAAATACAGATAGTTTGAGTGAGATTAAAAGTTATTTAAGTTTGTAATGTCTCTGTCACAACAGCAAATGCTTTAGGAAATAGAATAGGAAATCTGACATCTGTAAGTGACACTTCTCCTGGGTACTCTAAGGTTGAAAGACTTTGAGTTGAAGAGTGAGTTCATGTCACACTTGGTAAACTTCCATCAATTTGTCTAACAGAATTTGGATTTGATTTATTAGTTTCGGCATCCAGCCATCCTATATCAATTCCACAATTTATTTACATGTCACATCAAAAAGTAGACCAGTTCATCGTCTTGATTTCCCATACCTTTGCCATACAGTCCTTTATCCATCTCTATCGCAAGTTGAGGAGTCTTTAGTTTCTTCTTTTCCAGAAATAATTCTATGGAACTAAATGTTTTCTTATCCTTTTTTTGCAGCTGTTTGTATACTGTTAGATTCCTTATAAAATCTGTATTTAGAAACTTTTGGAGATATTGGTACAGTATAGTTTTCTATGATGGCTTAACAGTATTTTCTGGTTTTTAGAAGTTGAAAACACATTTTCTTGTTTGGACAATTGCAGAGGACTGTGCTGATATTTTATAAGAATTATTGCTCAGATTTTTTTCCAAATAATTTATAAGAAATTTGACCTGGACAATTCCTGGGACAGAGCCCTGAGGGCCTTCAGCAGCTCTCCTCACAGTGAAAAGAAAAAAAATAGTCTATAACAAACAGAGGCAATAAGATTTCATGGCTTTTTCTGCATGGCTCTTTCTTCCAGAAACACTCCAAAATACAATCATCACTCATCAGCAGCAAGTACAGTGGTTGGTTTCCTGTTCTACTGGATTTAGCATTGGTAGTTGCTATGTCTTTATACAATTCTTCCTCAAATAATTGGTTTTTGACCTGCTTTAAAATGCTATTGTTTATTTGCTAAAGTTCACCTTTTGTTCTGTTTTTGTTATTTGTACATGACTTCAACTTTAAATTACGTCCTTTTCTGTCATATATTGTTTAACCTTTTAGATTTTTTGAGGGGAAAGAGCTCTTCTAATATCTTCTTTTGATAGGTAATAAATGTTTGATCTGAACCTGTAATATCGGTAAATAGTCCTGGTGCCACCTGCAAGCTTTTACCCTTTATCTGCTCCTTTTATTTCTTTTTATCATCCTTTTTAATTTATATACAGCCTCCCTTTTTTGAAATTAAACATTAGCATAGTGAACATTTTTAGCTTTTTTACTCAAAATTTCCTTTTTTGTCAGCCAAATAATGTCCATATTTAAAGACAAAATTAGAATATGTTTCTTCTGTCTGGGTTATCTTACTAGTTGTGCCAAGAATAAATTATTAAAGATATCTGGAAATTTATTCAGTCTGTCATGATAGCGGTCCATGAAAAAAATGTTTTATTGTTTGTTGCGCTGAGTTTGTGTGGCAAGGTTTTGGTATTGGGGCAGCTACAGGTGAGGCTTCTGTGAGAAGCTGCTAGAAGATTCCCCCATCTCCAACAGAGCTAACTGCTGGCCATGGCCACGCCATCAATCACTGGCAGCTACTTAAGAAGGGAGAAAAAAGCTTCACAGAAGCAATTGCAGCCAAGAGAAGTGAGAATATATGAGAGAAACAACTCTGCAGACACCAAGGTTAGTGAAGAAGGAGGGGGAGACAGTGCTCCATACATTGGAGCAGAGATTTTCCTGCAGCTTGTGAGCTAGGCTGTCCCCTTGCAGCCCATGGAGGTCCATGTGGAACAGATATCCACCTGCAGCCCACGGAGGAGCGCATCCTAGAGCAGGTGCTCTGTGAACCTGTGGAGGGAGGAGCCCATGCTTAGGAGCATTGCTGGCAGGACTTTTGACCTCACGGGGGACCCATGATGGAGCAGTCTGTTCCTGAAGGAGGGAACAGAACCCCATGGGAAGGATCCACACTGGAGCAATTTGTGAAGAAATTCAACCCAATACATTTGTGTTTAAATTCTTCCCTCCTGAGCAAGTAATGAATAGTGTGTAAGTAGTGAATGCAGCTTTTTGTCAGTACACAAGCCTCCTAGATTTCATGGCAATAACCCTCCCAACTGCAGTGTTACTGGTTGCACTG